ATATTGTTCAGAGGGTCTTAAAAACATCACACAATGGAGTCAGAGAGCTGGCACAGAAGTTTTTAAATACTGTGGTCAATTTTGAGCCAAGTCAGAAAAAGAGAAAATCTTAACTATTGTGAAGGGACCTTCAATGACAACCTTATAACATTTGACTGGGATTAAGTTTACTTTTTGACGCTTAAAAAGCAATATTATCAATACAATTTTCTCTTCAAATTCCTTTAGCAGATCTTTGTGAAATTTTTACAAGTAGGATTTGTGCCAGTGGAATAAATAATTTCAGGATGCTGTTCTTGGTTACAGTTTTGTTTTATTTGTTATATTCAAACCAAGCTTTTAGTCACCTCCTCTGGCCTCGAACATGCCATTTTTTACTTAAAATCAGTAATGTTATGGCCTTGTATTAAACATAAATCATCTCCATTTACACTTTAAGATGGTAGGTTCACAGTTACAAAGGAAGTCGTGATGGCAATTGGAGAATCATAAGTGTTTCACAAATCTCTAGATTCTACTAGATGTGTAACATTCCAAGAGAAAAACCATGTGTTCACATCCCAACTCCATTTAGTGTGGAAGGGGATATCCTAGTTATGGTTGCCACAGTGAAATTCCCCGAAAGTTACCTGAAAAAAGGCAAGATTTCCCCGACCAGCTAAATTAACAATTTCACAAACTAATCCAAACCTCTAACCTCCACTCACAGCAATCCTCACCACCCATAACTTTAGGTCAATCCCGTTCTTTTAGAAATATTTCTTCAGAATTAATGGCTTCTGTTTTAAGATTCAGAACTACTTCTGTCAGTATCTCACACATCAAATTAACTTAGGAAGCTGTTTCAGTCTGGTTATGTCCAAAATATTTGAAGTATTTTCATCTTTGGAGGCAGGCTCTGGAGTAGGAGGTGGTGCTTCACAACCTTGGAATGTTTCAGAGTTGAATAGTTCAGAATCACAAGCAGAGGTTCTTTTTGATTTCCTAGCCATAGTTGGTCCATGTTGACCTTTAGAAATTGTAGGATGTTGTGGAGCTAGGCAGTACTTTCCTAGGTACTGCTGGGTAGCCATGGATAAGTTATTCCATGTATAGTCCATGGGAGATTGAGAAATATCATTGTCAAAAGTAAAAGCCCTGTGGCGGCTGTGGCTTTTTCCACAACTGTTGATTTGTTGAAGCTCATGCTGTTGATCGTCAGTGAGGTATTTGAAGTCTGCTTCACTAAAAACTTCATCGAGAGTGTCGTCAACTGACAGTGAAAAGTAGCTAATGTGTGGTTGATCTGGTATGTTGCTCAGTGATGCTGATCTGTGGAATGGCCATTGTTTGGGGAGAGAGCTTACATGGTTCCTGATGATACAAAAGAGGACAAACCATTATCCTTCTACTATGTTGCTATGTACACTCAAAAACCCAAATGTTCCACAACTGCAGGAAGCAAGGTTCTTATGAAGAACTGAAGAAGCAGAATAGTTGTGTAAAGTGACAGGAAAATATTATCCACCTCTGAATAAAAATTATGTCAGAGAATTCTGCTGATTAGGTGTAGAATTATCTTTTCTCTTTTGCTAAGTGATCACCCTTAGGAAATTTACTTTGTACAAAGTG